GTGATGGACAACTATTTATATGTGTTTGTGATGAATGATTGTAGGACAAGTTATGGTTATCTATTTATCTTATTAGCTTATACTTGTTTCTACTTATGATGGTGAATGTATTTTGGATGGCCATGTGTTGCTTCAAATTATATTTTGAAATCTTGGCCATCGTATTCTTTTTATTTGTTGTGTGAAATAACATGTCATATTGCATTTCTTTTCACGGATATCTATTTGTTCACACACACTTGTTGCACTCCACTGATTATAAAATTTAGGGGGAGCTTTTGTATTGATGTATGTAAATCATGTATAGATGATTCTAATTGAAATCCAAATTCATGCATACATCAAGGGGGAGCTCTTCATAAATTTTGGGGTTCAAAAGCTTTAAAATCTTTTATTCTTATAAAAGCCTAAGTTGGTTGTCATCAATTACCAAAAAGGGGGAGATTGAAAGTGCATTTACCCTCTATGTGGGTTTTGGTGTATTGATGACATCCAAATTAGGGACTAATGTGATCTTAATGAGATATGTCACAGCTATTAGTCCCATGAAAGATTCAAAGAGTTGATAAAGATGAAATGGTATCCCTCAATTCTTGAAGTTATAAAGGCGGACGAACTTAAAACGCTCTCCAAAGGTTTTAATTTTGTTTTTGAGTTTAGGATCCGCCGCACTATAAAGAGGGATGCAAACTTAGTTGGTCTGAGGAAGATAGAGTGCTCAAGCATAAAAATAAAATCAAAAGAGAGACACTCTAGCACTTCACGAGCACATAGAATAATTTCTGTGACTGTCGGTGTCAGAAGTCCCAACGTAAGCTGGAACTCCTGACAGTCGGAAGTCACGACTCTTGCCGGAAGTTCTGACTCCCAGTCACTTAGCCTGCGCGGTGACTATGGACGTCGGAAGTCCCGACGTGAGTCGGAACTCCCGACAGTCGAAAGTCCTGACCTAAGCCGGGAGTTCCGGCATCGGTGGTTCTGCTGGCCGGCTGTCTGTGCATGTCGGAACTCCTGACGTACATCAGAAGTTCCGACCGTCGGAAGTCCCGACCCATGTCGGGAGTCCCAATACCTATTGCGGGCTGGCTGGGTGTTTAACTGCACACGTCGGAAGTCCCGACGTTTGCCGGGAGTTCCGACATTGACTTACACACGCGGACTTCTGACCCTGTGTGAACAGTGTTTTCTGTTAACGTCGAAAGTCCCAAGATCTGCGTCGAAACTTCCGACGTAGATCTAAACAGTTAGATTTCTACTTGGAGTATAAATACTCCTCTCTTCACTTCTAACTATTATGGACTCATTCACAGCTGACCCACTTCATGCTCAACAGCTCCCAAGCAACTAAAGCACCCCTCTACTCCCCTTTTGCTCCAATCTTCGATTCCCTTAGGGTTTTGAGTAAAAGGAGAGTGGATTAAGTGAGAGCATCACTTTGGAAAGCTTGAGCACTTGATTTCTTCGTCAAGCCGGTTGATTTTGCGTCTATTACTCTTGGGGCTTTGCCCCTAGCCGGCTAGGCGTTGCCCAAGAGCTTCCATCTTATGGAAGAGCCTTGGGAAGTTTGTATTGCCCTTCGATTTCTTAGTGGAAAGCTCAAGTGACCTTTGTGGTCGCTTTGAGAGAGACAAGGAGGTGGAATAGACTCTGACCTTTGTGGTCACCTCAACAACGAGGATGTAGGAGCTCCTTTGTGGGGTTGCTGAACCTCAGGATAAATCTTGTGTCCCGTGTGCTTGTTGTTGTTGTGATTGCTAGAGATTACTTGTATTTGTTTGTCTCTCTCTCTCTCAAACTTCATTTTAGGGTTTGGACTCGATCTATGGTTTGGAGGCATTACAACGTCAAGGGAGTAACCCAACATCTTCACCAAACCACTAGGAAGTGGGGTTGTACGATTATTTATCCGTAAAGTTAAATTTGGCACTGCTTTTGTAGTTCATGTAGGCGTCGGAACTGCTGACGTTTGCACCGGAACTTCTGATGACATTGGGAGTTCCGACCCAAACACCGGGACTTCCGACATTGACTGACAGATTTGAACTTAGCATTTGCAGTAAATTTTTAGATAGGCCTATTCACCCCCCTCTAGGCATTGTTAGATCCTTTCTGTTCCGGCTCTTTCTGGACCGACTGATTAGAGGCGGGGATGGTGGAGGTCTAAGCACCACACTGAGTCCGGGACTCAGGTGTGGGGGCTTGGAGTCCAAGTTTGGACGGAGACCTAGACCCCTTGATATGTGAGTGGTGGGTTGATCTTGTTTGTGCCTAGGGTACAAGTGGGGCGTGCATTTCGGGTTACCCAGCTGGGCACATTGATTCATGAATCGCCGGGCAATCCAGTATGACTTATCTACAATTTAGCACCGTAGTAAGAACTGGAAGATGAAAGATGGTGAAATGGATCTATTTGCTCAACTCTTGCTTGAAAGTAGAACAGATGCTTACCTAGAATGGTTAGATAATGAACTAATCATGACTGCTAATAAGAACCATACATAAGGATCCACTACTAGTATTGCTTTCCGCAAAAAGAAAACCTAACAAGCCATAAAGCTTATCATATCCTTTGGAGTCGGAAAATTATTCTCACTATTCGGATAAGTCTTGCGAGTACATTGTGTACTCAGGGTTTATTTACCCTGTTGCAGGTGCAGCTTGAAGAGTAGCTGTTGTGTGGAGGATTCTTTTGGTGGGCACAGACGGATCCTTGAATTCTACCGTTAGATGTTTATTGTAATTCTACTGTTTAAACTCCGCACTATGAACTTGATACTGTAATAATGTATTTCTAAGAACTCTGGTTGTATAAAATGGACTAAGTATTGTAAACTCGTTCTCATTATTGGATCCTAGAGGAAAAACGTGGATTATTTGAGTTCTCCCTTGGCGTGTGCTCGACGGAATCCGTCCGATGTAGCTTACTTTCGGGGTGCTTAGCGTCTGGTGGAAGACGAGCGCCTCCGAAGGTGTGTTATTTTGGGCGGTTCGGCCACACTGAGGCTGGCAGACGCCTCCGCGGCACGCAAGCGGGCAGGTGACTGGGATCCACGTGGGGTCTGGGGATGGGTGTTGGACGCGGGATGGGCTGCGGGGCGCGAGATGGGCGGGTGCGACATCTAGATGTGGGGGCACTGACGCTATGGGATGCGGACTTGGGTCGTGGGATGCGGTGCGGAATAATGCACGGGTGGAACGGCGTCCGAGCTAGCCCTTTCATTTTGAAAACGGTTGTCACTGATGTAGCACGATAGCCGTCTTACGTGGCGCCACATAAGTGACAAGGAAGATAAATTAGAATTTCACGATTGATCGAGGAGATCAATTAGATTTTTTAAAGAAGTATAGAAAAGTATTTTAAAAAAAATTATCAGAACATTATCTGAAAAATAAATATGCATTTAATAATATAAAATCTAATTTAATGCTAGAAAATTCATAGAAAAACTATTTTAACTCCCTCTGGGGCCCCTCCATTAGGAGGCCTATTTTTTGTGGCATAATAATTAAAGTGGGGATCCCCCCTAAGGAAAACATCCCAGGAACATGAAATTTGTCAATTGGTTAATTACATGTTGATACCCAATCTACGTACACACGGTCCATTTAAATTAGTTTTGTCTGAAGAATCGAACCGACATATTTTTTCTCGACGGTACCATGACACATACACAATCAAACCGACATAACTATCACACTAAAGAACAAGCAAGCTCAACTAACCAGACATGGGGTTTGATTGCTAACAAAATGATCACACAACCCTTGCATTGCATAGACACTCCCCACCCAAATCAACACACAACCCTGTCCCACTGCTGATTGCTGAACCTCCCTCTCTTCCACCTTCAACTTCTATGTCCAGTTGATGACCTCCCTCTCTTCCACCTTCAACTTCTATGTCCAATTGATGACTAGCCTCCTTTTGTTGTCTCATGGGGCAATTTCTTTGCAAAGACTTGTTTTTCTCGAATACGCAAAAGATTGCAAAGACAATTGTTGTACATTAGACCTTTTCTTTAGGAAATGTATATTTTTTTACTTCTCTGCATGAAGCCAAGATGTTAACAAATTGATTGTTGATTAATCTCTCAACTCACAAATATAAGTTGTTTTTGGTATCGACACAGGAGACAAGTGAAAGTTTTGACTAGCTAATTACTTCTATAAAATATGAGATCGATACCAAAAAAAGAATTACATATTTCTTCGTAGCCAGCCTATTAATAACAACACTGACTTGGGTCGACAATCTGACTGTCCTTTTTGCTGATTTCCTCATATTTACTACCATGAGACAGTGGAATATTGCTTAGCTCTCTTCAACAAACATATTGTCCAGAGTAAAATGGGAAATTGAAGGACCACGAGCCGTTTTATTTTTCCAGAGAGTTCCTGCAGTTGGTTTGGCAGCGTAACATCAGCTTACCTGAATTTAAATCGAACATACCACAACTAATAAGAATTGTTAAGTGGAGAGGAATCTGACTAGGTCAATAAGGGCAGCTAGCTTAGCATTGTCAGTGGCATGAAAAAAGAGCAGTACGTACTGGGTCAAACAAACTGATGAAGGCAAGATCAGGACAAGCAAAATGTGCTGGGCAGGCTGCAATCCCCATGTATATACGTATTTGATTTGATTTGGGTCTGTCTCTACATCATACACACACTATCATTCTTGGCAAATAGAGGGAGGAGCGATCGAGGAGCCAAGGCCCAAGAGCTAGCTTTCCTTTGCTCGATTCGATCGCCTTCGCCTGTTGTTGCAGCTGGGTTGCCGGTCGCGCTCGCCGTCACGCCAACGCCATGCCCTCCCTCCTCCGCCGCGCCACCGTCGCACGCTCTCCTCCACGCTTGTCGAGGAGAGCGTTGCTGCCGCCGCCGCGCTCGTCAAAACGTGGCATCCCGACGTATCATGCTCCCTCTTCCTCCACAACGCCACCGGTCAAGCGGAGGAGGCCCAGGGCTTCCTGCGCGCCGCCGCCGAACTCCACCGAGCCATGCTCTTCTTCGCCGCCGACACCACCAACCCCAGCTCCCAGAGCGGCCACGGCCTCGTCCAGGCGCAGGAGCTGCTCCAGACCGCTATGCGCAGGCTCCAACTCGAGCTCCAGTTCCTGCTCGACAAGCACGACGAAAGCCAACAACAAGCGGCCGGCGCATCCGCTGCCGGTGCCAGCAGTATACGCGCGGTGGCTAAGGCCATGATGGCCGCCGGCTACGGCAAGGAGTGCATTTCCACCTTCAAGTCCCACCGTCGCACGGCTCTGGCCACCAAGCTGCAGCGTCTGCTCGGCTTCTCACCTCCAACTGCTAGTGGTAGCAGCAGTAACTCGTTGTCGTCGTCGTCGCTCTTCCACAAGCTCACCTGGGAGCAGATCGACGGCAACATCATACCGTCGTGGATCGCCACCGCCACCGTCGCCTTCAGCTCCCTCTTCACCGGGGAGAAAGACCTCTGCGACACGGTCTTTGCCCGCGACGCGGCTGTTCGTGAGGCTGTGTTCGCGGCCATCGCCAACGACCAGGCCACGAGCCTCCTCGGCATCGCGGAGGCCGCGGTGGCAAGAGCAAGGCGCGCCCCGGAACGCCTGTTCCGGGTGCTCGACGTCCATGACGCGCTCACCGAGGTACTGCCGACGCTCTTGTCCGTTTTTGGGGACAACTCCGAGGTCGCCACCAGGGCCGCCGTCGTGGTCACCAAGGCGGGCGAGGCTGCGCGCGGGACCCTGAGCAGCTTCGAGGCGGCAATCCAGAAGGAGCCGTCCAAGGCCACCACGGCCGGCGGCGCGGTGCACCCGCTGACCCGCTACGTGATGAACTACCTCGTCTTCCTCGCCGACTACCAGGAGGGCCTTGCTCTCATTTACGAGCAACCTGATGCAGAAGGCGCAGACTACACCTCATCAGTTTCTGGCAACGTTTCGCCGGAACATTATGCGCTGTCAACGACATCGTCTCCGTCGTCGAGCATGTCGTCGTCGTCGTTTTACAGTTACAGCCCGATCCATCGGCTGGTGTCGGTTCTGCTGGGCAAGCTGGACGCCAAGGCCGGGTGCTACCGGGAGGTGGCGCTGAGCTACCTCTTCCTGGCGAACAACACCAAGTACGTGGCCAACAAGGTGGCCGGCAGCGGCAGGCTGCAGGGGGTCCTCGGGGAGGAGTGGGCAGAGGCGCAGGGCGCCAAGGCGCGGGCGCACGTGGATGTGTTCGTGCGCGCGGCGTGGGGCAAGGTGATGGCCGCCATCTCCTCCGTGCCGCAGGAGCCTGAGGTTGTGGAGGCGGCGGTGTTGGAAGCGATGGGAATGCAGGATGCCAGGATCAGTGGGTGGCGGCGGACGAGGAGATGGGCGGGGCGTTGAGGGCGGTGGCAACAGCGGCGGCGGTGCCCAAGTACAGGATGTTCTACCGGCGGTACGGCGCTGCAGTGCGGTTGACGCCGGGCGACGTGGTCACCATGATCGCCGCACTATTTGGCGGGACTAGAAGCACTCCATGGCATCAGAGCCGATGCAGCACCATCTCAAGGATCCAAATTCAAACACAAACCCAAGGAGACCGCAGCAGCTGTTCGCCTGACAGAGAAATCATCAGCATGTACAATTGTACATAGCTCAATAGATCTAGAGAATTCCTTGTATATCAATACAAATGTCGTTCCTTTTCATTTTCCCCAAACACAAGTTAACTTTAAGCAGCATTTGAAAGATTGGGAATAACATTCAAGCTGATTAAGTGTTTCATTTGATCACAGTGGACTACTTCTGCTACAGTACTAGGTATCACCTGTAACATGAAAAGTTTTCTTCTGGTTAAGCAGAAGAGTTGTCCTTCAGAGATGATGGAGCTCAATGGTAATAATACCAAAAAAAAAGTTTTCATTTGGTTAAGCAGAAGAGTTGTCCTCCAGAGATGATGGAGCTCAATGGTAATAATACCCACAAAAAAAAGTGAATGGTCACTGTCTCCGACTTTGCTTTACTTTCTTTGAAAGGACATAGTGGATATATGACGTGTAATGGATGATGAAATGAAAGACTCGGTGCCTGGAAACTGGAGGAGGGGAAGCAGGCCGGCCGGCCGGCCGGCTAGCTTTGGACCAGGTTCTGCTTTGCTGTCGCTGGATCGCATTCATCGTCATAGATTGCTCAGACACACAGACCAGACAGCAGACAGCAATGCATGTCAGTTGGATCATACATTATGCTACAAAGGATGACGCGCAACAATATACAAAACCAGCTTTCACCTTTCAGCGACCAACGCTAAGGTAAGCTATTTGTCCATCGTCCGTGTCCTGCCCTCTTCGCACACCTCTACTAATAACCTAGTAACAATATACTAATCCCAGTCCAATCGTGCAATTAATGCAAGCACAAGTTGTTTTGTATACACCACATCCACATCGTCACCACTCACCAAGACAAAAATTTGCAGTACTCTTCCATTTGTTCATTGTTGAAAACAATAGCCTTGCCTTGGCCGTCATGTATGTATCATACAAGGCATCGACTAAACAGCCACACACCATCACACATATCAAAAATGAAGGAACCTCATACAATTGTTTTATCTTGTTTATCGTTTTCATCGTTCAACTAGGAAGCTAATAAACTTGACAGCTCCGCATCCGTCAGCACCGAGGGAGCAACTTTCACCTGCTGTACTACAAAGCCGGCCTCCTGGCATGCCTTGCGGAGAAGCTCCACCTGCGAATCCCCATCTGGGCACAGCGCAACCACTGCACCTCCGCTGCCAGTGAACTTGGATGCCGCCTCCACCATCTTTATGTTCACCGAACCAAGTACACCATCCCCAAACATTTCCCTACAATCACATAACCAATAACCACATATGACTCTGTCTTACCTTGCCATTCCATGCATGTGTTCAGGCAGGCACATTAATCTTACCTTCACAGATCAAAATTTTTATTCATAAGTCTCGCTAGCTCAGTATAATCCTTCTGCAGCAAAGCCTTGTGGCCATCGAATGCTAGCTACGCTACTTCATACTTGATATTATAAACTCATCACCATCAAGCCATCTTTGTCTAACACTGCTATGGACCTACGTTAAAAAAACATTGATGGCTGTCAACTAGCAGGACTCAAACATCTCAATATTATTTTGTGGCATGTGACAAGATTAAAGAATGAATTGCAGTTTATTTATAGATTTAATTCAGTAAGAACCTTGCCAGAGTCACTGGGGTTCTCTGCATAGATGAGGTATAGAGAAGGAAGCAGATTAACATCCAGTGGCATGTATATACCATGACCCAGCTTGTCCATATGCTCCTGGCTAAAATCCTGAGTAATACACAAACTGAAACATTAACAAACAGAGTTCAAACTAGCTAGCAGTACTTATGCAACAACTAATACATGCTTGTATTAGTTCACACTAGCTAGAAGTATGTTTGCAAGACCTATACTGTCAATAATGAATGCTTATATCACGTACCATATAAACCAGTCCCCCATAAACCTGTGCCACTCGGTCCTGGAGTCCAGCAACAATTCCAACCTCTTTCTTAGCATTGAGAATTAGATTAGGTCTCATTTCAACTTTTATTAGATGCCTGACATCATAGGAGTCAAGAAGGCAGCTTAGAGCAGCACAAACAATCGCGCTCGAACCCGACAGCCCAGCCTACAGAACAAAAGAATCAATGGAGGGAAACAAATGAAGTGGATCCCGACTTGTTACCTGCCGAGGAATATTAGTATCATATGACAAGGTGAAATTTTCAGCTTTTAAACTGATATTATTTTGAATACAGTGATTGTAGAAAACTTTACAGATAGCCATCAGCAGCCGAACGCCACCATAATATCCTTCACTTTGCAAACGACTCACCTAAACAAAAAGGAAAAAAATAATAATAACATAAGCTACTTGCTTAAATAATGGTAGCGATAGTTAAATGCCTTGAACTTGGCATATTTCAATATAATGTTCAGGCTGGCAATCGCCTTCCGTAGTTCCTCTAAAAAATAGTGAAATGCCTCGATGTTTCAGCAAGATTTTTGTTTCCGCAGACTGATTCAAGTGTTTTGTCCTTGTATTTGGACTAGATTGTTCATTCCATTTGTATTGAAAACAGTTCAAGACGAATTTGCCTTGCGCCGAAATTTTAAGAAAGACCCTATTTACTGTATTGTAAGCTCTGATTCTTTTCTTCTTTGGCATACAAGGTGTGTGTCAAGCGCCTTGGCACTCAACGACGGCGGCCCGCGACTACGTAGTTCGTAGTCGCGCTCCAGTCCTCACCGCGAGGTTATACCCCTCTGCTGGTGGCTTAACGAGAGTAGAGGTAGGAGATTAGATGATAACTGATTGCTTGCCTTCATTGTTTTGAGTCCAGGGAATATATGAGCCAACCGGCTAACAAACCTGAAACAAACGATCCTAATTTTAAGGCCTAATTTTCTCTAGCCCCACTGGGCCCGCCCCTGCCATCCTCGTCCGAGGTGATCGCGACCCTTGCCGCGTCGCGCCGCTGCAGCCGCCTACTGCTGCCTGCGGATGTCTCGCGCCTGCCCCGCCTTGCGAATGTTCGCCCCACATGACATCTCTCCTCCTCGAGAAGTAGCTCGTCCTCGAAATGGAAGCTTGGAAATTGCTCATGGGCGTGTCGAGGTCTTCCAGGTGGCCGACTCAGCGTGGTTCGCCCGCGCCATGGACGCAGCAGTGGCGCGAACGCCCAGCGCAGCAAGCGAAGCCTCTCAACCCGAGCCAGCTCTGGAGTTACCACGCCATGGTGGATGTGTGGCGGTCAGGTGGAGTCGACGGAGGCACGCCGCTAAAATTCTTGAGGGCGCACATGGAACACGTCATGGATGCGAGCTCTGCGGCGGAAGGTCCAAACGCGACAACCACGTCGTTGATGAGCTCGGTGGCGCGTAGGGCCCGATGTAGCGCGCTTCAGCTTGCCCGTAGTAGCTCGGGGTAGGGAGGACATGGTGCTTGTTTGTCGGGGCGCAGACAACGCCTGTCGCCACCGATAAGACACTTGTCGATGATGCCGATCGTAGTGGTGCTTTTGAACAATCTGCGCCTGTTCCAGGCGATAGCGGACGTCGGCGAGAAAGGCTTCGCGTTCCTCCATGTCGCGGCAGCAACCCGAGTGTCTCTCGGCTCGTAAGAGCGGATGGTGGGTGGGTCACGGCCGTACACCACGCGGAACGGGGTCTCCCGGAGCGAGGACTGGTAGGCCGTGTTATACACGTACTCAGCCCAGGGAAGCCACCGCAACCACTGCCGGGGTCGGTCTCCCGTGAAGCAATGCAGGTACATGACGATGACATGGTTGGCCGCCTCCGTCTGACCGTCAGACTGAGGGTGGAAGGCGGACGTCATGTGCAGCTTGGTGCCCATCAGCCTCATGAGCTCACGCCAAAACAGCGAGGTGAACACTGGGTCGCGGTCCGAGACCACGGACTGCGGCATGCCGTGGAGGCGCACAATGTCGGTGAAGAACACCTGGGCCACGGTCTCGGCGGTGTACGGGTGCGCCAAGGGGATGAAATGGCAGTATTTGCTGAAGCGGTCGACGACGGAGAGGATCACGGACTTCCCGTTCACTCGCGGCAAGGCCTCCACGAAATCAAGGCCGATGTCGGCCCAGACGATGGTAGGGATGGGCAGCGGCAGGAGGAGCCCGGCGGGGTGGAGGTGCTCCGACTTGTACCTCTGGCAAGTGACGCACTCCCGAACAAAGTCCTGCACACAGCGACGCATGTTGGGAAAATGAAAATCGCGGCGTAGTCGATGCAGCGTGCGCTGGACACCCTCGTGTCCGTCGTCGTGGACGGCTGCCACGATCTCCTGCAGTAGTGGCGAGGCCGGCGGTATGTAGAGCCGCCCGTCGTAGGTGACCATGCCGTCGGAGATCGCCCATGGTGCGGCGCGCGTGCCCGCGCTGATCTCGTCGTGGACAGCCACCAAGGCCGGATCCGTGGCCTGAGCGTGGCGGAGGCGGCTGATGAAGTCAAAGTGGGGGCCCGAGACTGCCATGAGTGCGCCCGTAGAGTCCTCCTCGGTGTCGCGGCATGAGAGGGCGTCGGCCACCGTGTTTGTCACGTCGGACTTGTACTCAACGGTGAAATCAAAGCCCAGCGCTTGCCGACCCAGTGATGCTGGGGAATAGTCACGAGGCGCTGGTCGAGGAGGTACTTGAGACTGTAGTGGTCTGTCTTGACGATGAAGCGGCGCCCCCATAGGTACGGTCGCCAATGGCGGATGGCGAGGACGAGGCCGATCAGTTCCCGCTCATAGGCCGCAAGGGAACGATGGCGAGGCGCCACCGGTCGGCTGAAGAATGCAATCGCGTGCGCCTCCTGGATGAGCACCGCCCCGAAGCCGTAAGTAGACGCGTCACACTCCACGATGAAGGGCCTAGAGAAGTCTGGCAGGGCCAGCACAGGGGCTGACGTCACCGCCCCTTTGAGGGCTGTGAAGGCCGCTGCGGCGTCGTTGTTCCATGTGAACCCCTCCTTCTTCAGGAGCGCGGTGAGGGGTGCGGCGATGGCACCGTAGTTGTGGACGAATTTCCTGTAGTAGCCCGCCAGCCCGAGGAAGCCGCGCACCGCGCGCGCAGAGCGGGGCCGCGGCCACTCATGGATGGCCTGGACCTTAGCGGGATCCATCGCCACGCCGGATGCGGAGATGATGTGGCCGAGGTAGCTGACGGAGTCGACGCCGAACGAGCACTTGGACCTCTTCACAAAGAGGCAGTGTTGGCGCAGAATGGTGAGGATGACGCGGAGGTGTCGGAGATGGTCCACCCAGCTCTTGCTGTAAATCAAAATATCGTCGAAGAAAACGAGGACAAACCGGCGGAGGTGAGCGCGGAGCACGTCTTTCATGAGCGCTTGGAAAGTCGCTGGGGCGTTGCACAGCCTGAACGGCATGACCAAGAACTCGTAGAGGCCGTCGTGGGTGCGGAACATCGTTTTGTGGACGTCCTCCGGCCGCATCCGCACCTGGTGATACCCCGACCGAAGGTCGAGCTTGGTGAAGAAGCGCGCGCCATGGAGCTCGTCCAGGAGCTCGTCGACGATGGGGATGGGGAACGCGTCCTTGACGGTGAGGGCATTCAGGGCGCGGTAGTCGACGCAGAAACGCCATGAGCCATCAGTCTTCTTGACGAGGAGGACCGGTGAGGAGAACGCCGAGTCGCTGCGTCGGACGATGCCCTGGTTGATCATGGCGGCGCATTGCCGCTCCAGCTTGTCCTTGTGGGCCGCCGGGTAGCGGTAAGGACGGACGGCCATAGGAGGAGCGTCCGGCTTGAATGATCTTTGTGGTCGCGGACGCGGGTGGAGGCGATCCATGGGCTCGGCAAAGATGTCCTCAAAAGGTGGCGGCTATTCGTCGAGGAGGGACGTGCTGGCCGTCGTGGAGTGGAGCCCTGGCGCGCTGGAAGGCGGCACCCCGGTCCAGCAGAAGTCACGCCCCCGTAGCCGGAACGACATGGTGTGCTTGGCGAAGTCCCGCACAATCGGTCCGAGGGTGGCCATCCATTGGGTGCCCAAAGACCGGATCGTATCTCGCAAGGGGCATGACAAAGAGGTCGATGTTGAAGTCAGTGCCGTCGACGGAGACTGGTGCGTCCCGGATGACGCCGGGGCATGTGATCCGCTCATCATTGGCCACGATCGCCGTGAGTCGAGGCCTGGGCTGGACCGTCAGCCCGGTGCGCGGCGCGGCGCTGGCGGCAATGAAGTTGTGGGTAGACCCACTGTCGAGGAGGGCGACGAGCGTGGTACCACCCAGTGAGACGGCGATCTGCAATGTCCCGTCGAACGGCACTCCTACCACTGCATGTAGGGAGAAGATCGGTGACTTCATCTCCTGCTCGTCGGTCGTGGCAGCTTCGTCGGTGTCGAAGATCTCGACACCGCCGATGTGGAAGATGCGCCGGCAGACGCGATTGTGCCCCGTGGTGTACTTTTCATTGTAGTTGTAGCATAGGCCCAAGCGGCGGCGCTCCTCCTGCTCCTCCTTGGAGAGGCGCTTCGCTGGCCGGCCATCTCCCTGGTTCGCGGGCACCTGAGCGTTCGGTGGCGGCCGTGGGTGCCGGGAGGGCCGGACGCGATCCCGGTGCTCCTGGGCCGCTGCGCGAAGGCCTTGGCCGGGCGGGCGGTGTCTTGCTCCATGAGCTCAAACTGCGGGCAAGGCTCATGGCGGCGCAAGGGTTTTGCGGGTTTTGCATCTGAACTGGAGGCGGCGCGGTAAGAGCCCCCATGAAGAGCTGAACCCTCATGCCTCGTCAAAGGCGACCGGCCAAAGAAGAAGCGATCGAAGCGGTCTGGTAGTCGGTCACCGTCCCGTGCGGCGCGGCAGGCCAGCCGGCAGCTTTCGAAGAGGGCGCCGCCAGACGGAGCGGGGCCCGTAGCTTAGGTTGAGGAGCTCCGTGAAGCGCGGCCATGTCGGCGTGCCCTCGTCCTCTTGGACCTGCATGTACCACAGTTGGGCTCCCTCCTGGAGATTGTACGATGCCATCCAAACGCGCTCCTCGTGCATGATCCGCTGTTGCAAGAAGGACTCGCATTTGTTGATGAAGATCAGCGGGTCACTCTTGCCGTCGTAGTGCGGAAACTCGGGGCGCCAGTGCTTCGGCGGCCGATCTTGGTGGTGTTCGCCCGTGCCCGGGCGCCCTCCGGATGCCGAGGATCCGGTGACGGAGAGATCATGGATCGCCTTCGCGTTGGCCTCGATCAACTTGTGCATCAGTTCCATGTTCTTGGAGAGTGCGTCGATGGACGCCTTGAGATCGTCTCCCATGTCGTCGGCGGAGCAGGAAG